CCCCCCCCCCCCCTCCTCCTCCTCCTCCTCCTCCTCGTCCTCCTCCTCCTCCTCCTCCTCCTCCTCCGCCTCCCGACCAGGTGGGCCTCCCACTGGCGGGCACACGAGGCCGCCGTCGCTCGCCACTGACAGGCGGCCCGTGGTCGGGCCGGCTCCGCAGAGCGGATGCGCTGGCAGTGGTGCGGAGCCCATTCGTTCGGATGCAGCTCCCCTGGCATCGCTCGGACGTGTGCGTTTTTCCCTCGGCGAGGACCATCGAGGAGCATCCTTGACCATTTGCCGAAAAAGCCACGCACGAAACCGAACAAAACACAGGAAATGGACGTCCGAGCGATGGCCAGCTCCTGGGAGGCCAGATTCTGATGTTGCCCTGGTCCGCAGTCCGGCTCCATCCAGTTTCTAATCCCGCTTCGTCCGTCTCGAGCCCACTCGATCCCGCCTGATCCGGTGGAATCCTGCTCGATCCGAGGCCCACTCCGGCGCAACAGCCCATTCTCAGGCAGTGTCGAGGCGTCCTCGCCAAAGAATGTTCAAAGCACCTTTTTGTGGTCTGCGCGGAGTGTTCCCAGAACGTGCTTGGCCGAGATATGGTCTTATTTTAGCACATCGGGTTTACAGTCGAAAACCCTAATAAGGACGCGCGACTTTGCTCAGGGTACCCTTGCGTCCTTGCTCTTCCTTGCTCTTGCGTCCTTGAGGTTTTCGTCGTCCGCCGCCCCAGAAATCCCAACTTCGGCTTCCAAGGGTCTTGCGTCCCTGCCGGCGCGTCCTTATTAGTAGGGTTTTTGACTGTATGGTCGAAGAACATTGTCTTCGTTTTCAAAACGTTCTGCGGTTCTCAGAACATCGCGTGGCAGGCCTGAAATAATGCCGGGACGGTCGCTCCCTGCTCAGCAGCCGGCCATCGAGCACGCCCGCGAGCGGCCCATCCGGCCATCGAGTACGCTTGAGTCGGGCCCGTCCCTCTCTACAGGAGGAATATCCAAACATAGTTTAAACAATTGTCTGGGGACGATGCTTTGACTCTTCTTGACTATTTCGGTACATCTTCGGAGGACAAAAACAATCTTCTGGACATATATGTTTTGACTCTTCTTGATTATTTCTTGACAGAAAATCATGTCCAAAATCCGCCTTCAGGAGGACCTGCCCGACCTAAGGGCACGCCCACGTGCGAGCCCGTGCGGCGGCCGAGCGGCTCGGAGGGGGCCCGGATGCCCGCCGCCCCGCTGGGGTGAGCAGCGTTTCCGCTCGGGGACCGGACGGGCTCAGACGCTTCAACGGGCCCAGGAGTGGAGCCTGGGGCTAAGTCGGGCCTGTCCCTCTACAGGAGGAGTAGTCAAAAATATTTGAAAAACAGTATGGGGACGATGTGTTGAGTATTTTTGGGTATTGATGGATTCTTTTTTGTCTATTTTTCATGTTTCGTCCAAAGCCCGCATGTAGGAGGACACGCCCGACCGAAGCCTGGGGCAGGGCGTGCAGTCGACCTCCACACCCCTAGCGCGGGGCCAGGAGAAAGACGAGCATGAGGAAGGGAGAGCTCTGCCTTCTTCTTCCCAGCCGACGCCTGGGCCGGCTGCCGGATGGGAAGGCGAGAAGGCCCGCCTCGGAGTTGGAGCTGGCTGGGGGCCTCGGGCGGGTGGCAACTGGGGGGGTGGCCCAGGTCCCGCAAGGGGCCCTTCTCTTTATTCCCCGAGCTCAGGTCACCCCCCATCACCACCCGCCCGAGGGTCTGACCAGCACCGGTTCTGGCCAGCAGGGAGGGCGGGCAGGTCCTCGAGGCTTTGGGTTCGGGACGGTTGTTTTGCCCCTCGTGGGCCTCTGGGGGCCGTTTTTGGGGCCCCGGGGCCGTGAGAAACAAATCGGGTGCGAGGAACTGCACGAGATGCGCGGGAGGCGTCTGGGGACCGATGTTGACCGCATTTGGCATCATCCCCCGTCCTGGCCTCGACTACACGTAAGAGTGACCTTTCGCCGGAGTGACTTTTGGTGCGGGCACAAGGGGGTCCCCCGATCACCGATTGCGATGCGATGGTAGCGTCTTGCGCGCCTGAGTTTGGTCCCCCCGCGGCCCCCCAAACGCCGCGCACCAAAGGTCACTCTGACCCAGGGTCACTCTTGCGTGTAACCGATGGCCGATGTTCCGAGGACCTAACAATTCAGACCCCCCAGCCGCCTCCATGGCTCGTGGCGCCAACTTCGCCGAGCGAGCTTCGATCGGAACAATACGAACGAGCCCCGGGTTGTCTTGCGAAGTCGGTTCCGCTTGTTGCGGATTTCGAGCGGATCTCTTTCGTCGAAGAATGGGGTCACCAAAAATCCACGTGAAGTTCCTGGCGTTGTTCGCTCGCCGTCTCGGCGTGTGCCATGTGCAGTGATGGGCCTATTTTCCACAACCACCACCAGAAGTAGGAGGGGGACGGGGTCCTCCTCCTCCTCCTCCTCCTCCTCCTCCTCCTCCTCCTCCTCCTCCTCCTCCCTCCTCCTCATGCTCCTCTTCCTCCTCACTCTCCACCTCCTTCCCCCTTCAACTTATGGTGGTGGTGGTGGAAAACAGGCCCATCGTGCAGGAGCCCACCTGATGTTTCAGAGTAGCCCGCCGGCAATGCCAGGGCCATAGAAAAGAGGGCCAGGCTCGCCGCCGGAGAGGCGAGTTGTTACCCGCGGGGGATCGGCGCAGGGCGGGGGGGGAGGGTTTCTCCGAAGGGCTCCTCCCCCCCTCCTCATCCTCCGCCGTCCTCCTCCTCCTCCTCCTCCTCCTCCTCATCTCCTCCTCCTCGTCCTCCTCCTCCTTCTCTCTCCTCCTCCCTCCTCCTCCTCCTCCTCGACCTCCTCCCCCTCCTCCGCCTCCTCCTACCATGCTCCTACTCCACCTCCTCCTCCTCCCTCCTCCTCCTCCTCTCCTCCTTCTCCTTCTCCTCCTCCTCCTCCTCCTCCTCCTCCTGGCTCCCTTCCCCTCCGCCTCCTCCGCCATCCCCCCCCTCCTCCTCTCCTCCTCCTCCTCCTTCCTCCTCCTCCACCTCCTCCTTCCTCCTTCTCCCCCTCCTCCTCCCCCTTCTCCTCCTCCGCCTCCTCCTCCTCCTACCGCCCTTCTCCTTCTCCGTCTCCTCCTCCTCCTTCTCCTTCCTCCGTCTCCTCCTCCATCTTATTCTCCCTCCCTTTAATCCTCCTCCTCCTTCCCCCCTCCCCCTTTCTCCATCCTCCTCCGCCTCCCCCTCCTCCTCGTCCTACCCTCCTCCTCCTTCTCTTCCATCCTCCTCCTCCTCCTATCTCTTCCTACTCCTCCTCCTCCTCCTCCTCCTCCACCTCCTCCTCCTCCGACTCACCCTCCAACGCTCTCCTTCTCCCTCATCTCCTCCTCCTCCTCCTCCTCCTCCTCCTCCCTCCTCTCCTCCTCCTCCTCCTCCTCCTCCTCCTCCTCGCCTTCCCCACACTCCGCCCAGGAACGTGCGGGTTCGCTGTCGGGGGCCTCTCGCCGATCTATCGGCGGTGTGTCGCCGATTCCAGATCTACGCTTCCCCCGCTGAGCCAGTCCCCCCCTTCGTTGCCCCTCAAGTCAGGACACTGGAAACCTCGGGAGGGATAGAACGTCACCATCCGTGGCACGCCGCCCTTTTCTGATGTTTGGGCGTTGCACTAGTGTTTCGCGCCCGGCGCCTTCGCGTTCGCTTTCGAGTCCAGGGTCCATCACATATCGACCGGGCTCGAGACATGCCGCAGAAAGATGTGGTCTAGGGTGCTGGTTCTGATTGTTCGTGGTGTTTCAAGTTGTTGGCAATTTGGGATCTCTGGGTTGCGAGCCCGTCAGCGTGCTTCTTCTCTGTTTTTGTCAGAAGGCAGGGCCATGTTTTTAGCAAAGAGACGCCGATGTATTCCCCACGGTGGCGTGTCGTTGATACTGCTCCTGCCGACCAAAACCGGGGATTTGCCAGCCCCAGATGTGCTCGCGTCGTGGGGGCCCTCCTTGTTGGGCCACAAGGCAGTCAAACAACGGCTCGGGATGAAGAACTGGCCCCTGGAAACAGGGTCGGGACTTCCATGAGGTCTCCGTGTTGGCAGAATTCTGGCATCGGGTGTCTGGGGGTTCAGCCCCAGAAACTAGGACATTGCAAACCAGGGTTCTACCACTCCAGCCAGAGAAGACGAAGGCCCGAGGATTTCTCTTGTCAGAATCCCCGTTAAGTGGGGCCCGACGAGGCCGCGGTGTGCAAGGACGAGGGCTACGTGGACCTGGACCTGGACGCGGCGGAGGTCACGAGGATCCAGGGCACCTCAACAGGGCCAGAGATGATGGGGCCGAGCGTCCAGAGAGGAGGACAGGATGCCGCTGCTCGTCTTGGAGTGCTCTCGTCGCCACGCCCGGACTTGCCTCGAACTCTTGGCCAGAGCGCCCTCCAGGTGAGGTCCGGGAAGCAGCGGCATCGGCACCCGTTTGTTCAACACCCCGACGGGGCGGGCCGGAGCTGCTGGGGTCGGGCGTGCCGCGTCGCCGATGCGGTCGGCGGTGCCGCTCGATCTGGGGCACTGCCTGCTCCACCCTCGGCGTGGCCGATGCGTCGCTGATGCGCCGCGGCGATGCGGTGCGAGCCTCATCTGCCCCGGCCTCCACATCGAGGGGCGGCCTCCGCAGAGAGGAACAGGCTTGGTGGCGTGGGGCCCGACGCCGCCTCCGGTGGCGGAGGCCTCGGCCTCCACGCCGCAGCGCTGGTCTACCAGGGCGTGGCGGAGGTGGGCGGGCAGGCGGTGGACCTCGTGGTCACCACCAACGGGTCCTACAGCGCCGCGAGGCCCGAGAGGAACGGCAAGGGCAGCGCCACCGGGCGCGTCAACATCAACGCCACCGGCCCGGTGCCCCTGAGGCTCCGCTTCGTGAGGTCGGGCAGCGACCGCCCCGTCGTGCTGGAGAAGCTGTTCCTCACGCTCTTCGCCATCGCCGCGCCCGCGGCGGGGGGGCGCGGCGGCCCCGACGCGGGGGCCGCCGGCCTGGAGGTGTCCGTCGGGGGCGTCGCCGAGTACTTCACCACGGCCCTCACCTCCGTCGCGGCGCGTGAGGAGGGCGGCTGCTCGTACACCTTCGGCAGCATCCGCGGCCCGGCGGCGGAGGCCCCCACCACGACCCCGCAGGCCGCAGGGGACGGCCAGGACGAGGGCGGCGGGGCGTCCGTCGAGGGCCTGTGGCTGGACGTGCTGAACCGCAGCCTGGCGCTGGCCTTCCGCGGCGTCTCCGAGGTCGAGCTGCTCGTCCGCGCGCCGCCGGCGCCGCGGGGCGTGGAGCTGGAGTTCGCGGGCTGGTCGGAGGTGGTGCAGGTCGGGAGCAGGGCGGCCTGCCGCCCGGCGGGGCTCGACGCCAAGTTCGCGCGGGGGCCACAGCGGGGGGACCCCGGGGAGCCCGTCGGGGAGGGCTCTCTCTGGGCGGCTGCGCGGCTGCGATCCCTGAGCCTCGCCGCCGCCGCGTCGGCGGCGGGGGGGCTCGTGGCGCTGGCGGCGGCCTGGCGACACTGGCGGAGGCCCAGCGGGCGGGCGGCGGGCTCCCCGCACGGCGAGTACGGCAAGCTGGCGCTCGCGCTCTGAGCCCAGAGGGTGGCCAGCTGCTGCCTTCGCCCTGTGAGCTCGGCCTGCGCGCCTAGCTCCGCAACGAGATGGCCGGTTGGGTCCTTGCCAGTTATAACTGCTGGCCGCTTAGAGGAGCATGGCGTGCCCAGCGAGCCCGACCGCCCCACGGGGGCCCGGGCGCGGGCGACCCCCGCATCGCAGCATCCGTGCGTCCGTGGCAGAGCTGCCACAATCAAGCGGGGCGCATCGCAGGACGCACCCGCCATCAGGCAGGGCACAACTGCCACGAGCAGGCCACAAGAGCAACGCCCAGCGCCTGCCGAATTCGTCAATGCCCTGCCGGCGCGCGCGCCTGCGCGCACGGCCGCCGCGTGGCGGATTCCGAAGGATCCGCCCCGTGGCGGCCGCGCCCCTGGCGGGCCAGCCGTGGGCGCGCCACCCGCGCGCCAGCAACTGCGCCCGCACCGCCCGCGGAGGATCCCTGCTGGGGCGCCCCGCCTGGGGTGGGGGAGGCGTGCACGGCCTCCGACGGGCCCGCGGCGGCGAGTCAAAGTCGGGGGTGCCCGCGGCCCTGACCTTGGGCGGTCATGTCATGCAGATCATGGCGGTCCCCGAGATCCGGGCGTCGCAATTTTTTCGAAATGGGCGTTTTCGCCCAGTTTCGGGCCCTGGGACCCTCACAGACCGATCGGGCTCGAAAAATGACGCAGGAAGACGCGGTCTGGGACTCACGGGGGTGTTTTTTGAGCGATGTTGCAGTGTTGCTGCAACGTCAGCTCTGAGGGGTCATGAGCGGGGATCGAGGATTTCGAGGCCTTCTCTGACGCTCTGGGCGGCTTGGACGCGCCCTCGTCGCGCCACGGCTGGGTCCGCCTCGATCGTCTCAGGCCACAGCGCGCCCTGGGAAGGGCGGTCGGTGTTGAAGCCCTGGGCCTCGACTCCCGTGCTCCGCGAGCAGTTCGCGACGGTCGGCTGAGCCAAGCCTGGGCCTCGCTTGGGGCCCGCGGGGCCCTCACAAGAGCGGCACGACGCTGAGGAGAAGCCGGCCCTTCGGGGAGGAGGCCGAGCGCTCCTGGGCCCGCGCGGCCCGCGCCGCGAGAGAGCCATGGGCCACGGCGCTGGTCCCTTGGCCTTTCTCCGCCCGCTTCGGCCTCCCGCCCGAAGCGGGGTGGATGTAGCATGGCGGCCCGCCGTGCCATCCGTCTCCTCTCCGCCGCCCCGCCTCCTGGCCGGCCCCCTCGGCACGCTCCCTGCTGATCAATGATCTTTCCTCTCTGCCGCCGCCGCCGCCGCCTCCGCCGCTGCCGCGTCGTCGTCGTCGTCGTCGTCGTCGTCGTCGTCGTCGTCGTCGTCGTCGTCGTCGTCGTAGTCATCGTCGTTGTTGTCGTCGTCGTCGCATTCCTCGTCCTCGTCATCGTCCTCGTTCTCGTCCTCGTCCTCGTCCTCGTCCACTTCCACGTCGTCGTCATCGTCCTTGTCCTCGTCGTCCTCCTCCTCCTCCTCCTCCTTGTCCTCCTCCTGGGAGCTCACAGTTCCTCTGCCGCTGCCGCGCGCCTCCTCCGCCTGCGGCGTGTCGGGCGCGGCAGCAGGCTCTGCGTCGGCTGGTCCAGTCGGCCACGCCACCCGACCTCTAACATCTTGAGGCACGCAAGGGCTTGTGCGGAGTCGGCGCCCGGTGGCTGCTGTCGGGCTCCAGGGCGACCGAACAGCGATCTGGGAGGAAGCACTTGTGCCCGCGACGTCTCGGCGGAGGAGGAGGAGGAGGAGGAGGAGGAGGAGGAGGAGGAGGAGGAGGAGGAGGAGGACACGTGGGCGACGCTAAAAACGAGGTCGTCTGCGCCGACATTGGTGCTTTAGCTTTCCGCGCAGGGTCGCGCGCGAGCGCCCTCGTCTCGAGCGCGGCGTGCCGCGCCGCCGGCCCGCGCCAGCCGCCGCGGCGCCAGGTCGCGACGTCCTCTCGCGTACGACCCGCTTCTTTTCGTCGCTCCTTTGTGCCCGCGACGTGGTGGGGCTCGCTAGGATGACCGTGGGGGGTTCTAAATGGATTGGGGGGTTATCATAACCAGCCTCGAGCTTATCCCTATCCCTGCGATTGACACGCCAAAAGGCGATGACAATCTTAGGGATGCACCCTCAGAAACGGAGGGAATCCCTAAGATCGCCATCGTGACGAGGCGATGCCCGACGTAGGGATAGGGATAGGTTCCAGGCTGGTAATATCAGTGGATGCCAAGGTGGGCTATATCTGGCCCACCATGGCTTATAAAGTGGGCTACACATGCCCCAAGTAACTTAGGGGGGTGAACGATCTGGGCTACGTGGCTCCGCCCACTTTGCGGAGTTATCTAACCCCCCTAAGTTATTCGGGGCACTTGCAACCCACATGTATAAGCCAGGTTGGGCCAGATATAGCCCACCTCAGCATCCACCTGTAACCTCTCTGTCCGCTTAGAGCCCCCCACGGTCGTCCCAGTGGGGGGGGCACGCGGGAAGAGCCGTCAACCTTGGTTACCGCCGGGAACTCGCAGAGCTTTCTCGTGCAATGCGGGCGCGGCAATCTTGCACTGCGCGCGCGAGGGCGCGGTCTCGTTCCCGGGCGCGGGAGAAGCAGGCGAGAGGACGAGAGGAGACGGAGCGAGGAGAGGAGGGAGGAGAGAGGAGGAGGAAGGAGGGAGACCAAAAACGCGAGGCCTGGGGGGCGGGGCCCCCAGAGCGCCGGCGAGCTTCTGTTCGAGCCGGCGGTGCCCGGAGCTCCTGCCCTCCCCGGGCCTCTGCTCTCGCGCGCTCCGTGTCGGGGCGGGTGCCTCTCTTCTCACGGCCCCCGGGCCCCGAGGGCGGTGCCGGACGCCGAGGAGGCGAGGAGGGCCGCGCGATCAACGCCCTCCCTCGGGGGTGGACAGAACCCCCAACAGTGACACGTCGATTAGTGAATTGTCCGTTTTCGGTTTTCGAGAGGGCGCCGTGGCCGTTATTTTCCAGGCTTGCGCCCGCCAGGTTTGGGCCCGAGGTCGTTTTCACTAAACCACGTTTTACTAAAGGGAGGTCTGTCCATCCCCGACCCAGGCTGAGCCAAACATCAGTTTGGCTGACGCGTGCCCCTCCTCCTGCAGGTCACCCTCTTATTGCCCAATGCACCTGGCCAAGCTGACTCTGAAACAGCTCCTGGGGGCTACAGACGTGTCCATCCTCCTTCACGGGCCGCCTCTGCTGCACAGCACACTCTATCAGACAGGACCCCTCCCCGCGCCTTATGATGTTGCAACCTACTTCAGCTTTGATCACCAGGAAGAATTTCGAGCACCAAGAAAGTACCGAAACTGGAGGGTTTTCACGCGTCGGGCCCTGGGAGGCGCTACTCGTTCGACACTGTTTCGATCCTTTCCTGGGTGCCCGAAAGTATTTCCAGGATGTGGTCCTTCATTCAGTACGATGGGAGCAGCATAAGCCGTGCCGCGCGGTCTGCCCTCGTTCGCCAGGGTCTCCTCCTCCGCCGCGTTCCTGCGCGCCCTGCCTCTGGACGCGCCGCCGTCTCCAGCCGCTCAGCCTGCCCAACAAGAACCTGATCAACGCGGGCATGGCCGGAGGACCTCGGCGGCGCTCCCCCAGCGCTCCCGCGGGAGAGGGGAGCGGGGGAGCCCCGAGGGGCGGAGGGCGGGGGCGTCGTGGAACCCTCCTGGGCCAGGGGAGCGATGCCGTGCTCCCGAGACGCCACGGGCACCTGCATGCTCTGGCACACGCCAGAAGCGCGAGCAGGCGAGGGGGGAAGAAGGTGGCACGGTCGGGCCCGCCTGCCCGAGCCAGGCTCGGAGACCGGCGGCGTGCAGCAGCCTCCCGGGCCTCCGTGGCCCGCGCGGCGAGCGCGCGGGAGGGAGAGAGGGAGAGAGAGGCCGCGGGGGCGGGGCGCCCCAGGGCACCAGGAGGGGGCAGGGGAGGGGCGAGGGGCGCGGCGGCGGGGAGAGGGGTGCGGGACGGGCAAAGGGGGCGCGGGGATGTGCACGAGCGAAGCGCGCTGCCCCCTTGCGTTGCGTCCTGCCCCAGCCACCCATCCCTTCCCACTGCGCTGCTCGTGTGCTCTGTGCGTGAGCGCGTGCTGCAGCGGATCTAGCGTGCAGCTCCCCCCCCCCCCCCCAAAAGACCCCATCGTGTGGTGCGCAATCAGAACTGGAGAGCTGCGTGCAGAGGAGAGAGGGAGGAGGAGGGGGAGGAGGAGGAGAAGGAGGAGGAGGAGGAGGAGGAGGAGCATGAGGTGTCGGATTTGCAGGAGGATGGGCCCGAGGAAAAGCAGGGGGATTAGGAAGGAGGAGACAAGGACGAAAGGCAACAGCAGGAAGTGGAGGGGAAAGCGGAGGATGGGAAAGGAGGTGTCAGCCACGCGCAGAGGGGGGTGGGGGAGGGGGAGGGCTTCTTAAAAGCACCCCTGCTTCTTAGCAGGCGCGGGCCTGAT